AAGTTAAATAAGAAAACAATTTTATGAATTTTCATATTATGTATACTGTGAAACTGTTGTTGATTTTTTCAAAGTTGTCATAAAAATTGAGTGTATCTGTACATGTTAAATCAACATATTATACGTTTGTCATATTCATATATTGATGTCCATTATTTCAAGTATTATTATGTCTTTTATGATTTATAATTTTTCTATCCATGTATGGAATATGTGATATTGTTTGAGATTAAATGTCCTATCTACCTACGTATATAACATGTTGTTTTGTTTAAATTGAAAACCCATGAAATAGGTATTTTTGTTAATTTTAATCTTCCTATTTTTGCGTTAAATTGTTTGCCTAGTTTGAAATTAAACTTCCGATCTATCCATGAAGTACTTGGCTTTTTTTTTCGTTTAAAGTACTTGGCTTTTTTTTTCGTTTAAACTTCCTACTTAAAAATCGTTTAAACTTCCTACCTAATATCTGAGCAAAGTGTTAATGACAAAATTACATGAAAATTGCAGGCTGTTTGATTGAGGCTGTTCCAGAGGGATAATGAAAAAGTGAAACATCCCTCACGCCCCGTAGCACCGGCTTGTTTGAGTTTAATCTTTCTATTTGCTTATATAATTGAACTTGCTATCTATCTATATGATGTTTGAGCTTAAACGTTTCTATTGGGTAGTGGAGTAAATACTGGTTAAACAATAATGCTTGCTGTTCTTCTGCAAATATTTTAACATGAACTCAAGAGCTTAATTTAGTTTTTATGTTTTGATATATTAATATAATATATTAACAAGCATGAAATAAATCTATTGGTAAGTATCAATTCCAACCTTTTTCAAAAGGTCAATTCCTTGAACAAGCATGTGATAAATCTATTGATAAGTTTCAATTCCAACTTTTTTTTATAAGATTTCTTTCTTATTTTCAATCAGTAAGCCTTATGTGTATGTGTTTTGTATTGCTCTACAGTATGTTTGTTTATGACTATGTGAAAGTTACTGATTTAATGTTTGCTTGAAAAATTGTTATAGTTACTTTTATGACTTTAGAAATATCTAGAAATTGTTTGAATTTTTTTTAACTCTGTTAGACATGATATTGGTAGTATTAAATCTTGTAGAGATTTTGTTATCCACTTTTAATTATTGTGAAATATGAATATTTTGTCTATCCTTTATTAAAGATATGTGAACTTTCTGCACTGACTTGTTTAAAAAGTAGGTGCTGATAAAATATATTAACAATAAAGTCATCTATATCTCTTTATCGACATCGTTGTTTTAATTTGATCTTGTGTTTTGATTATAAGGTTATCCGAAGAATCACATTTCATTAGACCTATTTTTGCCAAGGAAACACGGAAACACCTTACCCATGAATAATTCTGATGTAAAAAGTAGACGTTCTTGTGTTTCTTCTCAGCCTGATCGTCTTAGCATCTTTACAGGAAATCAGTTAATTTAAGACATATCAAAATGCTTGATGAAAAGACAATTATCAGTCGATATGCTCCGGTTCCCAAAGGGCTGCACATGTCTATTGCAAGAATTGTTGTGAACACTAATGTAAAACCTGTTACAAACAACTCACGAGACCATACCCTTTCCCGACAAACACATACTGCTAGGTAAAAACAACATTCCCTCTTCTACTGCTCAACAGCGCGATGATCTTGCACAGCATTGTCCAAAACACAAAAAAATAAGGTCATCAAGTATTATTGCCGATCCATGATGAAATACTTTGCAGTGTTTGTGTGACTCAAGGACATCAAAAATGAGCTATTTACAATACATTTTTGAAAATATTATTGAAGGGAAAGAGTACCGTGAAATCTTGAAAAACCATAGGTACAATTTCTGATCAATTTCGTAATAATTATATACAAATGTACAAGAGCGTACGTATAGATTTCCTGTCCAATTTAACCGCACCTTGAAAAATGTAATAGAAGACATCAAAATACTTCAGAAAGAAATGAATCAAAGATTAGATGAACTTAAACAAAGAGCTATTTTGTGAAGCAAAAGTAGTTCAAGAAAATAATTCCAAAATCTTAAAACAAATAGAGACCACTTGTAACGATAGAACAAAGATTTTATGGACATCCTCTTACTCAACCAAACAAATTAACAGCACAAAACAAGCAGATAATCTTTTCGTGGAAGTGAAACGAGCAGTTGAAATGACAGAAGATTGCAAGAAAGAGCTTGCATATTTGTCACAGTTTCAGTCCAAATGTAATAATATCTACGGTGCTAACAATAGTAACATCATTTGGTACATTTGTACACATAATCATCGAAACAGAATGTACAACATTGACGTCTAGGCATTTTTTTACAAGGGAGATATCTGTGGGAAAACGTCGGAAGATAATTAAAGGTGCTGGATAACAGGATTGCTCTCCATATTACATAATAGATCGTCTTATAATTACTGTCTCCAACCATGTAGTAAAATGGCGGATACTTACAGTCAAACTGTAACTGATCGACAACAAATAGATGAACAGCCTTACGGTGTCACCCCAGTAACGAGCACTGAACTAGCTGTCACACTACGCTGGGCTAACAAAATTCTGTTTATAACAATCTCATCCTACGAATTAAAATCAGCAGCACATTATGAAATAGATAAATACAGAAGTTGGGTGAAAACTGTCACGGTATATGCTGCTACGACAGTAAACTTATCATATCATTCTGGAATCTATCAGAACTCAAGCCAGTTGATTTAATTTGCACTGTATTGAAATCATTTAGAAATAAAAAATTTCATTAAATGATCCATAACAGCTATCAGCAGTTCATTTTATGATTCTGGCAGGAACATGAATAAATTGGTAAAAAACAATGGTATGGAGAGGTCATTGGTAGTTATGGTGACATGGGTGTACCTTAAGGAATAGCACTATGAGATGATGATTCTTTGTTTGTGTGTGACGGGATGCACAGTGTAATAGGTGAGATATTCGGAAACTACTTTACTGGAAAAGTTGTGTTGAAGGATCTTAAGAGTCAAGAGGCTGTATGTTGGTGTGGGGAAACACGGACGCTGTACTACAGTTGTAAAACTAGTAAAGACAATAACAATTTCCTTCATATCTACAAAATGTCATGAACGTTAATTAATGAGTTTGCATGGACCGCGACACTGAATACTATAAACGTGTGGTATAACTGTATTTGCTGTATGAAAATATTGTTTTCTTTGCTCTTGGATGAATTGTCTTTATCTCTTTTCAGCACTTACCAAGGAACATTATCTCTAATTGTTTCTCAAATTGCATTATACAGTAGAATCATGATAACATAATTTTGAAACTTATTCTGTCTTAAACTTCAGCAAACGTGCTTCCTAATTTCTTATCTTTTGTTATACGTAAATAATCTCAAATTAGTATAAAGTCAAGAATAATAGCAAGCCATTTACATAAAAAGTAAAATCGGTGTTATTTGAATTAGTGGTCGATTTCAATATTATCAATAATGTATTTAGTTATTGAATAAATTATTAATCCAGACAAGAATAAAAATATGGTGTGGATAATCATGTGTTTACATTTATAGTTAAATAAAAGTGACCTGATTTTGTTCTTTCTTGCTTTGAAGTACATGTGCACTTATATGCAGTATAGTGGCTATATAGATCAAAGAACTAATTTTGCTTTTGTCTTTTTCATTATAAAATCACATTAGACTCCATTAGATATCGCTTAACTTTTATATGTTCATATTCTTTATTTACTTTTAAATTTGCAATAGACTACTGTACCTTTATCAAAATGGTATACACCTATCGTTATAATGTAAGATAATATTTTATCCAGTACCCATCCTGATAAAACGTTGCCAAATTTACTCATTTACGACACTTAAAACGAGATCTCGTGACAAGTACGATAAAGTGTTGGATCGGATGATATTTACACAATCTTTTTATTTAAGGATTTATAATATACGAGGTAATTGTTTTGATACAAAACATTTTCATTAATTTGAAAAATAATTGTTAAAATAACTCAGAATTGTAATTATAATTACAATTTACATGTACATGTAAACGTAGCAATAGTAAAGAAAATCCAAATTATATCTGCCATTTTGCTTTAGTTACTAAGTACTTGGTATAACTCACTAAATCAAGTATGTAATCATAGAAATTAAATCCCTGACTTTATGATAAGTTTTGAAAATACCAAAGGGAAATTATTTATGGTTTTAATATTAATTTCGATTTTGTTTAGGCATGAGAGGTCAAAATCAAGGTCGTTGCTTTAAATGTCAAGTGACACATTTTAATAATAAGTCATTAAATTCAACGTTTTTTATTGTTAATTTTACATAAATTTTTAGTTAACAGTTTCTCTTTTTTCAAATGATCTATTACTGTAAGCTCAAATGATGTCTTTAAAAATGGTTAAAAAAGTTATAAAGTTATTTTCTAAATAGTGCATTTTTACCGTTCTATAAATTTTTCTTTCATGTTTCAATCAACATTTTTTTGCACGAATCTATAATCGACTAATTTTGACGAGAAATTTGAGCGTTCTACATGTAATTAAACGTTACGTCTTTTTAAAAAATACCTTTATTTAACACATGTTTTTGAATGAGAGTTATTTCTTTGCTATATACAAGTATGAAATCATGCCTAAGATGGGCGTTTAATTGCTTAAAGAAAATTTGGATTTTGCTCAAAATTGTAGATCACTTAGTTTCAGAAGATAATTGGGCGTTCTTCTAAAATATTATAGCTGGAAAAATTCCTTTGTATGTTTTAATAACCAAAAAGAGAATACAGGGGGAAGCTGACGTAATTTTGAATTGATTCCGAGCTGAAATTGTTCTAAGTAATGATGTAGAAGTGACTTTTATTCTTATTACATCGTTTCTTAATTAAATAGAAATTTCTCTATTCAACAATTATTTTTTAATGTTTGACTTCTTCTTTTAAGTTAATCTGCTAGAACGAAACCTTAAAATATTTTTCTTAAAGGACAATGGCTGTCCCAGGGAGGAAAGTCAGTGATGGCCATCTTACAGTTTTCTGCCAGCCCTGTGACAGAGATGGGGAAAGATTGGCTGCACATGGCTACTGCAAAGATTGTTGTGAACACTTATGTGAATTCTGCTACAAACATCACAAGAGACATACACTTTCCCGAGATCACATTTTAGTAGACAAAACCAACATGCCACAGACATTACAACTGTCTTCAGCTTTTCATTATCAACAGCATGATGACTTTACAAAACCGTGTCGTAAGCACAAACGGGAAGTCATCAAGTTTTACTGTCATTACCATAATGAACTGCTCTGCAGTGTTTGTGTTACTCTTGGCCATCAATCTACTTCTTGCAAAGTTGGCTATATACCCGATATCTCTGAAAATGTCTTTGACGGCAAAGAGTACTTAGAACTGTTGAAAACAATGGATTCAATGTCTGAGCAATTCCGTCAAATACAAGACCGTATCTACAGATTAACCATTAAAGCTAACAAAACATTGGCAAATGTATTAGAAGACATAAAGTTGTTCCGGAAAGAAATCAATCAGAAATTAGATGAACTTGAAAAACAAGCTGCAGTTGAAGTAAATGTCTTTCAAGATGAAAATGTAGATATATTAAAAAACGTTGAGACAGCTTGTAATGACAGGACAATAGATCTATTGAAGTCCTGTAATTCAATGAAACGACTCAACTCTTCGAAACAAGCTGAAAAGCTCTTTATAGAAGTAAAAAGTGCTGATATAATGATAGAAGACTGCGAGAAAAAGCTCGCAGAGTTAGCGAAATTAAAAGTTAATTGTTACAGCTTTACATCAAATAAAACAATATCAAAGTTGTTAACATCAGGATTTTTTTGGGTATATTAGTACACAAAAGAATGCATGATGAAAGGACAACTGAAGCTTCTATGATATTTGAAAATAAATTATCTTTCCATGGAGATATCTGTGTGAAGACAGCGAAAGATAAAAAAGGGTGCTGGATAACTGGAATGCTTGTTCTTACTCCTGATATTCTTGTTATCATCGATTACAATAACATGACTGTAAAGATTATTGATACATGCAGTCGATCTGTGACTGATCGACTACAGCTAGATTGTGTACCTTATGATATCACCTCGGTGACTGGTACTGAACTGGCTGCCACGCTTCCTCACAGTGACAAAATTCAGTTTATAGCAATCTCTTCAAACAAACTAAAACAACAGCACACTATTAAGATGGATGGACACTGTCTGGGTATAAGCTGTTACCAAGATAAATTTGTTGTATCATTCTATAACCCTACAAAGCTCCAGATCCTTGACATGTGTGGTATTGTTTTGAAAACATTTCGAGATCAAAATGATTTCGAAAATCCGTTGTATGTCGAGGCTATCAGTAGTTCAATCTATATTTCTGACACAAACAAGAAAAGAGTGACGAGGATAAACTGGTGTGGGCAGGTGATTGGAAACTATTGTAATTTTGGTGGATCTAAAGGAATGGCTCTGTCAGATGATGTTACTGTCTTTGTGTGTGACAAAGAAAGACATGTTATAGAAGTGATATCAAGAGACTGTTCTGCAGGAAAGGTCATGTTGAAGGATATAAAATGTCCACAGGCTGTATGCTGGTGTAATGAAACAAGGAAGCTGCACTACAGCAGTGCTACTGGAAAAGACGAGAGCGACAACTTTCTACACATCTATGAACTGGCTTAGGCATTAATAAATGCATTTGCAAGAATCAAACATTACATGTGAAATTGTTTTTAAACCACTAGCCAGATAGTAAACCGGTGGCAGTGAAATAACTTGCAAGTTGACAAAATCGTCAGAAAAACGCGTTCATTGTTGCTGTCTCCGAGACGGCGACGTACACAATTAACAAGATTCGACCATTTCTACTAATACTACTCGTACACCACCTGCCCTAAGCCAATAAAAACGGATAATTTAAAATCACATGAATATAAAATGGATGGCAAAGGGCACTGAAAAAGGACGCCTACGAGGCGCGTCATCCACCATGTTTTTGTCTGGTTACCTGTATATAGAATTTAAATATTTTATATAATTTATCTTCATGTACGAAGCTTGAAACCAGTGTCTAGGCTCCTAGGGGTAAACAATATATGGAATATGTCTCTTAACATTCTCGAAACATTTATTTGCTCTATTATTCAGGAAGTTTTTTTTTTTCACCAAAATAAAAAAAGTTTCCAATACCCAGCTGAACGACGATTCCTAGCATTTTTTGGAAATGCTTATACTTTTTTACTCAATCTTTTGCGATAGTTACCGATATAAGTATGCTCACGTGCCACAATAGTCGAGATTCATTTACATTTAATCCCACAACTTAATTCGCTAATTTTTTTTTACACATTTTACTACATTTTTCAGTACAGCTTCACTTTACATATAACTAAAATAATGTAATCTATTTAACACTTCGACACTGCAAATGTTTAAGGTTTAAGTGCATGGTATCAGTAATGCTTAATTTCTGATTAATATAAACTGAATCTAACAAAAAAGTATTAAAATTCGCTGGAAATTGTTTGGGTTTTAATGTGTTTCGTAAATGATTGTAACGAATATCTGTTTTCTTCATTTAAACTTTTTGGCTTGAAAACTAGACATTTTGTTTGTTTCATAAATCAGACTAAAAGAAGATAATATATAAGATAAATTTTTTTTTATGAATTTTCTTATTATATATATACCACTGTCAAAGTGTCGATTTTTTCAAAGTTGTCATTAAATTGAACGTATCTGTACATGTTAAATCAACATATTTTAAGTTTGTCACATACATATTCATATATAAATGTCCATTATTATGACGTCTTTTATGATTTCCATGTATGGAGTGTGCAGTATTGTTTGAGTTTTGAATTTCCTATCTTCATTTGTACAAAAAATGTTGTCTTGTTTAAATTGAAAACCCATGAAATAGGTGGTTATGTTGATTTTTTAACTTCCTATCTTCCAATTAAGTTGTTTGAGATGAAATTTCCTATCTACCTATATTATACTTGGCCCTTTTTTAGTTTAAAGTTCCTAACAGTCCATGAAATACTTGGCCTTTTTGAGTTTAAACTTCCTACCTTAGTCTTGTTTGAGTTTAAACTTCCTATCTGCACAAATATTTTATCGAAGTAAAATAAATGTAATTTAATCAACTGGTTAAACAATTATGCTTGCTGTTCTTGAAATATTTTAACATAAACTCAAAGAGCTTAATTTTATTTTTATGTTTTGATATTATTTTATAATTTAGATCATAACACAACAAAGCATGAATTAATCACTTTTTTCTATCAGTAATCGTTATGTGTATATGTTTTGTATTGCTCTACAGTGTATTTGTTTATGACTATGTGAAAGTTATTGATTTAATGTATGCTTGAAACATTGTTTTGTTAGGTTTAATGACTGTAGAAATATCAAGAAACTCTGTTAGACAAGATATTGGTAGTATTAAATATTGAAGAGATTTTGTTATCCACTTTGAATTATTGTGAAATATGAATATTTTGTCTATCCTTTATTAAAGATATGTGAACTTTCTGCACTGACTTGTTTAAAAAGTAGGTGCTGATAAAATATATTAACAATAAAGTCATCTATATCTCTTTATCGACATCGTTGTTTTAATTTGAACTTGTGTCTTGATTATAAGAAGGTTATCCGAAGAATCTCATTTCATTAGATCTAATTTTGCCAAGGAAACAAGGATTCTTGAAATTTTGAAGTCATGATGTCATTACAGTAATTTTATTCATTAACCTTACCATGAATAATTCTGATGTAAAAAGTAGACGTTCTTGTATTTCTTCTCAGCCCGATCTTCATAGCACCTTTACATGAAATCAGTTAATTTAACACATAGCAAAATGCTTAAAACAAACCGCCTCCGTGGTCGAGGGGTTAGAGTCGATGACTTCTAATCCAGTTATCTCTCTGGCGTGGGTTCGATCCCCGGGAGATGCTTTGGTAGTTTAGCGCGGAGGAAGGTTGTCTAGTACTGGTGTAACTCTCCAGGAACGATGGTTAGGAAACTACCCGCCTATATGACTGAAATACTGTTGGAAAAAGGCATAAAATGAAACAAGCAAAAGCAAAGCTTAAAACAAAGACAATTATCAGTCGATATGCTCCGGTTCCCAAATGGCTGCACATGTCTATTGCAAGAATTCATGAGATATACCCTTTCCCGACATCACATACTGCTAGATAAAAAAAAACATGCCACATTCCATACAAACTGCTTCTACTGCTCAAAATCAACAGCGCGATGATCTTGCACAGCATTGTCCTACTTTGCAGTGTTTGTGTTACTCTAGGACATCAACCTACAGCTTACAAAATGAGCTATTTACAAGACATTTTGAAAATGCTATTGATGGGAAAGAGTACCGTGAAATCTTGAAAACCATAGGTAAAATTTCTGATTAATTTAGAAATATACAAAATCGTACGTCTAGATTATCTGTACAATCTAACTGCATATTGACAAAATTAATTTAAGACATCAAGATACTGGGAAAAGAAATTAATCAAAGATTAGATGAACTTGAAGAAAGAGCTATTGATGAAGCAAAAGTAGTGCAAGGAAATAATTCCAAAATCTTCAAAGTAATGCTTGTAACGATAGATTTTATGGACATCCTCTTACTCGAACAAATTAACAACATAAAACAAACAGATACTATTTTTCTGGAAGTAAAACGAGCAGTGGAAATGATAGAAGATTGCAAGAAAGAGCTTGCATGCATATTTAAACAACGCTGATATTAAGTGTCACGGAAATAATATATACGGTGCTAACAACAGTAATATCATTTGGTACATTTGTACACATAACTATCGAAACAGAATGTACAACATTGATGTCAAGGCAATTTTCTTACAAGGGAGATACCTGTATGAAAACGTCGGAAGATAATCAAATGTGCTGGATAACAGGAATGACTCTCCTAACTCCCGATTGTCTTATCATCAATTACTACCACAACCATGCTGGAAAGATAGTGGATACTTAAAGTGGTATATGCTGTTACCACAGTAAGCTTATTGTGTCATTCTGGAACCCAGCAGACCTCAAGCTACTTCATATAAATTGCACTGTATTTGAAACATTTAAAAATCAAATTTCAATTAGTGATCCATTTCTTATAACAGTCTTCAGAAGTTCATGTTTCTTACAGGAATATTAATAAAGTGGTAAAAATAAAATGGTATGGAGAGGTCATTGGTAGTTATAGTGCCATGAGTGTACCTAAGGGAATAGCACTGTCAGATGATGATTCTTTGTGTGTGTGAGACGGGACGCAAAATGTTATAGAAGAGATGTTCGGAAACTGCTCTACTGGAAAAGTTGTGTTGAATGATCTTAAGAGTCAAGAGGCTGTATGTTGATGTATGAAAACACGTTAGCTGTACTACAGTTGTAAAACTAGTGAAGACAAGGACGACAACTTCCTTCATATCTACAAAATGTCATAACCGTTAATAGGACATTGACACTGAAATTTATAAACGTGTATCTAACCTGTATTACAATTTTAACATTTGAATGAAAATATTGTTATCAAGGAAGTAATTTTGCAAATGTCTTTTTAATTATAAAATCATCATTAGATTCTCTTAGATCTCGCTTATTTTTTATAGGCTATATTCTTTATTTACCTTTAAACCTTCAATAGACTACCGGTATTGTAATTAACTTTAATGGAATGCTCCCACCGTTAAAATGTACTCGTAAGACAAGATATGACAGGGTATAATTTAAATAGATCCGTAACCCAATCTGATAACACTTAAAACGAGATCTCGTGACAGGTACGCTAACAGGAAGTTTATTGTGTTGCTTAG